GAGAGAGTGAAGGGAGTGATTCCAGTTTCTGCAGCTCTTGTGAAGCTACATCTTTCCAGAATTTGTATGAGCAGAGGTAAAAGCCAAAGTAGGGGCATGGAGCTGCCTTTTCCTCTTTGCACTTGTTTTATTTCATCTGCCTTCAGAGGACACCTCTTCTGGGATCCTCCTTGCACCAACACCTGCACATAGTAATGCCATCTACATAGAAAAATGCCACTCCAGCTCCTGGGAAACTGGAAATGACCTCACCTCCTCTCCTGAGCTTTATCTCTGCTCTCCTTGACCCTGCTCTTGGATGCTGAGTGGCAGAGAAACAGTCACCCATTGTGAAGCATCTGAGTGCAGCTGAAGTGCCTTTGAGATGGTGGCTGGGACTGCCTGTCACCTAGAATAAGCTAAGCAGAGCTGGGATAAATGGCCTAGGAGAAAGACACAGTATACCTGGGAGCCTGCCACCTTCTGAGTTAGTGCTAAACCCAGGGTCATTTCTCAAGGGAGGGGAAGAAAGCATTCAAATTTGACTCCTTTGCTCCCTCCTGCCCCTTGTCAGTTCCGGTTTCTTGCAGCAGCGCCCCTTGGGTGAAATACAGTGACGTGAAGCAAAGCTCAAAAGACTTGAGTTGAAATGGGAAATTTGTAGTTCAGCTGAACCCAGCTGGGCTTTCAAATAATCACATGGGATATCTGAATTGAAGAGTAACAAAGAGCTCCAGCTATAGCAAGAATTCACATGCCAAATGCATAGTGAAGGAGAGAGATCAAAAGGTGGTAAGCGCACAGGTGTGGAAGTGTGGTGAAGAACGTGTGAGTGGATGCATTAGGAAAAATACTGGGACATACACTGTTATAGAAGAGGAATCATTCATTAGCTTTTAGATTACTGGTTTTGGATTTTTTGGTCAGCTGTATCCCCCCTTTGCTGTGTGCCTTGATGTCTGAACCAGAGCAATTGATTGAGGATTAGAGATGTCACAATCTGGTGGGAAAACCAAATTTTTCTGGGAACAGTGGGAGGGCCCTTACCCTCCTCTCCAACCACATGAGCAAAGATCAGTCAGTTTTGTGCTTCACCACATCTTGTGTTAGCTTCTGTTCCCAGTCTGCTCCATGCAATACCATGAGAGAGAGAGAGAGAGGAGGTGGAAAGACCCAGAAGGAGTTATGAGTCATGCTGAGGAGAAAAGGTGGGGAAGAGATGGAAACATAAGCTGTCAGGCAAGGGTGGTGTGCAAGGACTGACCCAATATCCCCTAGTGAGCTGCTGGGAAGTGGTCAGGTTCTTTTTCACATGTAGTAGATATGGGCAGGAGCAATTCAACAAGCAAAGGACAGGTGAAAATTCAGCATCTTCCACTGCTTTTTAAAATCAAATCTCATGATTTGAGGGACTCCAGCTTATGGTCTAGGATTTTTCAAGACTCCCAGAACTGGGTCTCTGTATAGACAGGTCTCCACAGAACCTTGCAAGAGCTGACTGTGAGAGTGGGAAAGCTAAGTGTGAAGTCTTAGGGGTGGAAGTTCTGGGATGGGGGTGGGGTTAGGGAGGTTGAGGGGGGTCTAGATTTGGCTACAGCCCTAAAAGTTCTCTAGACAAGGCCCTAGGATGTGTTTGGGATCTGTGGGGGTTTGGCCATGGGGTATTTGGACTTTAAATTTCAAGTTCAAGGTTCCAGAGTAATCATAAAGTCTCAGTAACTCCTCACTGTGAGGAAAAGCTAGAAGCACTGAAAGTTCTTTTGGTTAAGAGTGAACAGTCTCCATATACACTGGGGAGATCTGCTTGCAAGGCAGGCTGCTGAAAGCCTGCTCCATATTTCATATGCAAGTTAGTAGGACCAGAGTGATTGCCTAAATTCAGCTTAGCATCTATGTGTTACTGGTGTCCTGTGCAGTGCCATAAATGGCTACAGTGAGGTTGGCTTGACGCCAGGTGTTACTTTCTCCCTGCTCCTTTGTTTAACCAGGTGTTTTATTCTATTTCCTCAGCAGTCCATAAACAATGGAGAACCCAATTCAGCAGTTCTCCCATTGGGAGAATCCAACCCAATCCTGAGGATTTTCCTGAGGATACCTTTTTCTATGAAACATTTTTAAAACTGCTTTGCAAATACTGCAGCTTTCCTTGCAGACGCCTTTTCTCCCCCAGCCATTACCTCTAGCAACGTCTGTGTCCTTGCTGATGTCAAAAAAGCTCCCAGAACTGGAGCCATTCAAATGTGCACCTGGTACTTATATTTGTACTTAGAAAGCATCACTAGTAGAGTTTGGACTTTTATGGAGAGGGAAGAACCCTACTTAGCACTGACAATGCCGCAACGTTCTGATAATCTGTTTTGCAGTGTTTAGCAGTGTACAGGCAACAGATCTAATAAAAGTCCTTGTGCTCTGAAATAGATGTTTATTGAGAAAGTAGTTGCTGTAGTGGTCATACACACACACATGCATTCTACCTGTTCCTTGCTGAACCTCAGGGGTTAGCTGATACTCAGCCCATTATTTTAGGAGGAGTTCACACAGAACCCACAACCCCCCATACGTGTATGTGTACACACTCTATGTAAAAATTGAACATCGTGACAATTTTAACTCAGTATCCATTGCAATTTCTATGCCCATTTTTTTAACAACTCTTTTGGTTCTTTCAAAACTGTCTTTGTCTGCCTTAAACTGTAGTATCTGTGGTGTCCGGCTACTAGAGAACATTTGGAGGAAAGCTGCTATGTTCCAGATAGAATTTAAAGACAGAGAAACAATACTTTGGTGCAAAATCCACTGTCTTTTCTGTGGCCTAACCATCCCTCTCCCTGCCTAGGACAGCAGTAGGTTGATGTTGAATATCAAACTTGTTTTTTTAATCCTTCACAAAATTGGGAGGTGAAGGTGATTCATCCTGCAAACTTTGTAGTGTGCATGCTTCCATCTAGCTTGGGATCAGCTCCACTACCTCAATGTCAAGGATTGACTCTCTGCCTCCAGAGACACAAATCCAGCCTCAGTTGCTTGCAGGCCTCTTGCGTGCAAGCAACTTGGCCTAGCAGTCCGTGGTTACACAGGTTTGGGAAGGATCGCAGCACAAGACAGTAGCCAGGCAGAGTGTGCCCTCCCACAGGTTTTAGCTAGTGCAGAACCCTGCTAAGAGGCAATCACTTTCTGGCCCGCTCTCTATTTTCACACTTGAGCAGCTGGCCATCATGATTGTAGTGGGACATAGGGCTGAGCTGACTGAATGGTGCACATAAAGCCTGCAACTTTGTTTTAGCTGCTCCAACCTTTTTTTCATTCTGCTTTGTTGTCTGGGCATTGGATGGGCTTGATTGCTCAGGGTGCATGTTTCCAACCACTGCTAAGCCTGGAACTTCAAAGATGTTTGGGGTCTATTCCTACAAAATAACTGCTGGGGTCAGTAGGAGGCAGGACTCTAAATGCCTTTGCCATTGTGAGCCTGTGTGTTGTTACAAAAGATCCAGCCTATCCCATGGAACTGTTTTGGATCTACTGTGGGCAAACAAATGTCAGCTGGGACTGTTCAGCAGACTATTCAGCAGGCACTGCCTGTACTTTTTGAGAGCCGTGCAAAGAAATGAAGGGCAGCTCAGAGCCTCAGGGAATAACTCACGTTCCTGCTCCAGTTCCTGCTCATTTGTTTATCCAGGTGCGCTTTCACCTTTTGAGAAAAAAACATTGGCATCAGAATCTCAGAGGTGAACAAAGCACAGTGGAAAAAAAAGAAATACAATTTATATCTGCCAATTATGTGAAAAAAAAGCCCCCTAGAAAGCCAATTTCCTTGTCATGCATTAGTCTTTCCTAAAGAAAAAAAATATTCCCAGGGCCTAAATAGTTAAGAGCTCTGTTTGGTACATGGGGATAAATCAGTGATGTATTTTGGTATGAAATGGCTGTTACGCTAAAATAGAAGAGCTTCCTTACTTGGGGAAGAGTTTCAAGGACCAGCTTTTCTTGCCAATTATGTTAGCATAAATCAGTGCAATCACTAGAGTAGCAGGCTTAAAAATAGCATGTGGAAAGTAGCTCCCAAATTAGATAGATAAAGAGTGCCATCATCCAGGGCTGGAACCACACCCTCTTGCTAACTGAAGAAGACCCCTTAGAACTCAAGTCATCCAGTTTTTGACCTGCCTGACCAGTGCTCAACCTCCATCTCCCCCCAGCATGTATATGTAATTTGGCCCTATAGTGGAACACAAAGGGATGTGTTATGTGGCTGGAGTTAATTGTAGTTGTTAGATTTGCTATTCAAACTAAAATATCTGTAGGGAAGAGATAAGATTAGAATTCCAGCTCTTTGCTTTCTGTGCCTTCCTTCTGGGTGAGGGAACACTCCATAAAGAGCAGAGCACTCTGCCTTCCTTTGCTCATCTTCCAGAATGACCAAAAACGGAATTTTGGGCTATTTTAGGATTCAGTAGGCACCTTCTCTATATAGACTTATTTTGTACAAAGACTGGTCTCGCACTGAATACTGAGACCTGCCGAGGGAGCTACAGCCTCAAAAACTTGGGGACAGTGTGACCATAAGACTTCATTGTGAGATCCAGTAGAGTGCACCTGCCAAGAGACTGTGAGACAATCCATCTCAAGGCAAAACAATGGGGTTGAGGCTGCAAGTGGGACAAGGAGCAGGGTCAGCACACTGAACAGAAAACAGGCTGTTACTCAGCAAAATAAAAAGCCAATTTATCTGAATGATGCTAGTCGATCCATAGTAGGGGGGGAGAAGGGTGCAGGAGAGCAGAGAGGCTGGAGTCCAGAAAAGCTTGGATTGGTTGGGGAACATCCTGAATGGTACAACCCTGTGCCTGGAGCACTATAAACACAGGAACAAGGCAGAAGAAAGGAAACTTTGGGGCTTCTCCTTGTCTACTCTCAGAAAAACAGGAAAACAGCAGGTGGCCTGGTGACCTTGGAAGAAGCAAGCACCCCACCTTCTCTCCTGACTTACCCTCAAGAGACATCCACATCCCAGGGGGTCTCCCATGAAAATGTGGACTCCCTTCCTCCTGAGCTGCCTGCTTTACATCCTGGGGATAGTGGCACAACCGTAAGTGCCATTTCAAGGTCCGGTGATTCATAGCTCTGAAGCTGAGGGAGGGGCCAGAATGGCGGGAAGAGACATGGGAAGGTGGGAACTTGTCCCATGAATATCTGCAGTACAAGAACTGTGTAAGGACTGGCAGTGGGAATAAGAAGAGTGAAGGACTCCTGTTTGAGGCAAGCTGAAGGGAAGGGTGTAGGATAAAGAGAAGGGCAAATGAAAAGGGGTGCAGGTCTGGGAGTGATTATGCAGGAACCAGTCTGCTGACAAGGTAGTTGAGGAGTTTTCTCAAAGCAAGAGGGTGGATCCTTTTTTACTGGGGGCTGGAGTAAAGCTGTAGAGAACCTGTGCTTCTGATGTGGAGTCAAAGCAGACCCTGAGCCATAGAGCTTTGGGATCAGAATTACACAGTTGCAACATCAGCTCTGAATGAATACAGCCACATGGCAGGGTTGGATTTGGATCCCAGCCTGAACTTTGGAGCCCAGACCGTCTCTCAGTCCAAAGTGCTATTCCCTTTTTCATGTGTACTGGGAACTCCTAAAGATAGTTCCCTTTGCAGAGGCAGAGACGGTCTTTACCATGTGTGTTTCCTTGCACTACTGTAGCATGCTCAAAAACCAGGCTGGTGTTAGTCCAGGCCTGATGATCCTTTTTGGGTGTGAGACTAAAGATGTTGTTGGCTGCCAGGATTCTTGATGACAAAATCCCAGAGTACTTGATTGGAGGAAAACTCCTAGCTGCTTTAAAACTCCTGGTATCTGAGTGCCAAGACAGTGAGGGACGCTGGCAGGCATCTGCTGGAACAGTGGTTCCCGCCCCATAGAAAAGAAGGGGCTATCCCAGTTTGTGGAATATAAGAGATAAGTTCTTTCTCTGTGCTCTGTCTCTGGGGGTTTACATTGCCTGTTGATCAGGCTTTACAGTGTGGTACTTTGGTAAGTCTCCATCAAAAGACAGGGGACACATAGGTGCCAGCATTCTAGGAAAAGAGGTCTCCAGAGACTCTCTCCTCCATTCCCAGAGCTTTCAGCAGCCCATGGGAATAAGGTAAAGGTGTTGCAGAAAGCATTTGCCTGAGTGTAACTTGACTTGGGAGGGTCAGAAGTGCTCACGCACTTTCCCTCTCACCCCTTCCTCCTGCTGGATGGTGGAAGTAATGCATCTTTCCCCTGAAGAGTTGACTTCTGCAGGGTTATTTGTCATGAAGAAAGTGCGTCTTTTCAACATACGATCTAATGACATGTCTTGATCTCCGTCACTGTTGTAAGCACAGCTCCATAGCTGGCTTTAGCCTGGGCATGGTGAGCAGTATTTTTTGCAGCAGCATGGCGCTCAGTATGGGCTGCAGACCCACCCAAGACCCAACTGCACTAAAGGCCTCCCCTGAAAGTGTTTCTCATGTATATCCCAAAAGATTCTTCCAAATTTACCATATCCCTTCCACTACCCCTGTGACTGGTTCACACTTTCATTGTTAATCCTGTCCCTTTCACCCCAGCAGAGCAGTTGTTCTTGACCCCAGAGAAGTGGTAAACCCCACTGCTTCTTCAGACCTTAGAGAATTTGTCCCAAGAGAGGGTAACACTACTCCTAGGATGTGATGTCTTGTTTCTCCACTGCAGGAAGTACCTGATCATCCTCCCAGCTGAGCTTCCCTTCCCTTCTTCCCAGAGGGTGTGCTTGGATCTCCGTGGGGTGGAGAAGCCTATTCGTGTGGCCTTAACTCTTGTGCAGGCATCTAGCAGCCTCAGCCTCTTCCGCAAGGTTGTCCGGAACAACTGGATCTTTGAGTGCTCCAGATTTCAGGTCAGGGTCATTCTTGTAAGGAGCTGTAGCTGGCAGCTCCCAGCATGCTCTTTCAGCTCATGACTCCTCTCACCAGAGAATTAATGTAAACAAGGATGATAGGAGGAGAAAGGACATGAAAAGAAATGAATACAAAAGCAGGAAAGGTGTTTAGTGGGAGCCTAGAGTCTCTCCTCCCTACCTTGTCAGTCTGTATGATACTGTTCCTACTGGGCATTTCACCATCCACTGTGCTGGCACAGTTCACTGAGGGAACGGCTGCCTGGCCAGGCACCCAGGGACTGAGAAAGATGGAGTAGCTTAGAAGCACCCAGATAGCAGCTATGATGTAGCTCATTCTCTCCTGAGAAGAAAGCACTGTCTAAGGGTACATCTGTGAATTGAACAGCTTGAGTGCTTTGCTTGGAGAAGAACCAGGCCTCACATTTCAGATAGCCTCCCCTCACATCTGATTGTCTCCAAGACTCTCTTTAATGACTTTAAAATGTGCTGGAGGCCTAGGAAGGGAATGGGAGTATGTCCACAGAGGCTCAGCACAGGGTTTTTCAATTTGTCAAATCCCTGAACCTTTTTTTCTTCACTTGCTATGAGGAATAAGAGTGTATGTCAGTCTCCATGACATATACAGTCCTGAAACTATCCAGAAAACAGATTTCTCATAAGCATAGACCTCTTCTTCCCTTGGTTTGAGTCTTCCCCAGCTCACTCCATGCAGGCTTTAATAGTGGCCCTGTGAAGGGGGCAGACACAACTTCTATGCCAGAACAGGCTCCCTCTTCCTCTTCTCCAAGGTCTGTGCCTCAGTGCAAAGGTAATGTCCCCTGTACTTCCATACACACAGCCCTTCAGTCACTTAGGGAATATACTTCTGTACTGTGTATACACAGCCCTTCAGTCACTTAGGGAATACGCTTGTGTTGGCAGCAGGCAGCCTTCAGAGTAGGGTGGGGAAGCAGATGGCCTCACAGTGCAGGAGGAGTGAGGAGAAGAGCATCTGCTTTGACGCCATCTTGTCCTCTCTTACTCCCTGCTAACTTGGTGACTCCTCTTTCCTGTCCTAGGTCCCCCAACCTGCAGATTCCCAAGAGGTGGTCACTGTACAGCTGCGCATCTCCAATGGCCACTACTTCAGTGCTAAAGAAGAGAAGAAAGTCCTGATCCGCAGGGCTGGCACAGGCACCTTCATCCAGTTGGATAAACCCACTTACAAGCCCGGACAGACAGGTGAGCATCTGCATGGAGCACACCTGACAGTTCCCCTATCTTGACCTGTCTAGAATTTGTTCCAGTCTTTTCCTTGAGGAAAGTGCTGAGTGCTTTGGGCCACATTATCTCTATGGGGATGGAGGGGGAAGCTACACATGACTGAAGCTCGTGCTGCCTCCTGGGATGATGTATCTGTTCATCATTTCATTATCTTTTAGGTGAGGGAGGTGACTTGCAGTGTCAGACTCAAAAGCTATAGGAGTAGAGCTGGCTCAGAAGAGTCATGAATGCGCTTTTCTCAAGGATGAAGGGTCCCAGCCAGGGCCGGGTAGGACTAGCCTGCTCACACTGCAGATGAGGAAACAGAAGGGTAACTCAGAGTGTAGCCTGAGAAAGATCCCAAACTGTTAGGTCAGCTGCTGTGCTGCTGTTGGGAGGGCTGAAAAGCCAAGGTAGATTACTGCTGCTGTCAGGAGGCATAGCACAAAAAAAACTCTGCATACTCCCATCTTTCTTCTGGCAGCACCCTCTCCAGATTTCCAGCTCTGTGGCACAGGTGAGGAAGCAAGTAGGCCTTTTTTTGTCTATGGGTCTAAGCAACTGCCTAAGTTGCTGATAAGTATAGCCAATTTTAGGTGGGAAGAGACTATCAAAAAGTGGGACAAGAACCTTACATTTTCCTGCACAGAGGGAGGGAAGAGTGCTGTATGCAAGGCTAAGCAAATGATAAGATGGAGACTACAGGGCAGGACTGGGTTTTAGTTGCAGAGCTGGTGGGGAGTTTTTCAGGGTGGGGTAAGTACAAGGCAGGTCTATTTCTGATTGTAGTCTGACTTTAGAATGTGCTCTTTTCTTCGATTTTCTCCTTCAGTGAAATTTCGAATAGTGACATTGACTGAAGATTTTGTTCCTGTTAACAGCAAGGTAAAGCCCATCTGAGTGGACATGAGGAATTTTCCAGATTTCCTCTATCAGTTCTGTCTCCTCTGCCAATCCCAAGCTGTGAACACTGAGTCAGTCTGAGTGTTTGTAATACCGAAGGTAGTAGACATTCATCTGTTACTAAATTAAATTAGAACAACAGCACCCGTTTGCTGAATGCAAAATTCTGGCCATATTGTCACCCTCACAGGACGGCTGCTGGCTGGTGGGAGGCTTGAAATTGCTGCTTATATTTGGGGAGTGTGCCAGCACTCGCTGCTAGCTGAGTTAGTTCAGGATAGTCCAGAAGCTGCATGTACCTGTCCTCCCTGCCAGAAAAAGCAGGCGGGGCATTTGGGGGAAACTGCAGGCTGCTGGCAGTGGACACAATTACTAAACAAACTGCACGTAGACTTAGCCAGAACCAAAGTCTTTTCCTGCAGCTCTGAGAAGCTTAGCTTTCTGTGCAGTGCATTGTATCTAAGGGTGGTAGGATATTCTGAAGTGAACTATGAGGCACCTGCAAAATTTCAAGAAAAATTAATTAATATTGGAAAGAATACTCATGAATATTTAATTATTAAGAAGAGAAAATATAGAAAGCAGTATAATCAAATTATACTGGCTTCTTGCTGGCAGCCTCTGATTTTCCCCAGGGAAGTGAGAAGTAGCTTTAGCTGCCAAAGGCTTGCATATATGCTAGCCAGGAAACAGCAAGAGCAGTATCCTTCTAAGGTAAGCAATTATACCTGCAGCCAGTAACTACAGCTATTTCAAATTCCTCTGTCCTGAAGCAATTAAAGGAGAGCCAACAGGAATTCATGACATGATTAAATACTGAAAGGCACACAAGAGCAGGGAGTTAAATCAAATTCCTCTAGACTGAATTAAATTGATTTCCTCTTTTTGGAGCTCTTGATGAGAGTCTAGGATCATGCACTCACTTTCTCCCCCTGACAGAGAAGGCATTTATCTATGTTAGTTAAATATCAGGGTAATAATCTTGTTCTTTGCCCATCTTCCAAAGTATGAATGTGTTTAGAGTAAATAATACATTTTGTTCCCTGTCTACAATTGGTAAGATGGTTTATGATATTCGACCTAGTATAAATGTTAATAATGCTGTAAGGAAAATTCAAAAGAGGTAATGTTAAATCGAAGGAACATTGCAGCATTGGAGCCATAATATATAATTTGCAAATTAGATAGGTTGAAGATAAGAGGGGCACTATTCACTGGCATGTTTTGTCCTTAGCACTGACATTGGATTACAGTTAGGAAAATAGTTAACCTGTACTTTTTTTTGTTTCAATGCAAAGCTGCTTATAATAACTTGTTTGAAAGCTTAGCATGATGAATAGTGTGAATTAAAAAATGACTTTCTGTTTACAAACCAGTTACATTCTCCACTTCCCTGTCCCTGCCTCCATGTGCCTCATTCTCCCGAATCCCAAGCCCTTCATCGCTGTTGCCTCCTGGCTGATAGCTACAATTAGTCAGTATAAACACAAAGTTAGCCTAGAAAGGCTGATGAAGTATGTCCTGCTTTCTGCCTCCCTGTTACTGTCAACCAAAGTATGTAGTAGTTCATATCTCTAAACTTTGTCTTCTAGGCCAGGGGTTTTACAGAAAAGTGTGGGATGTGTTCTCCCAGCAGATAACGCAGTGTTGCTAATTCTTGGGATCTGTATTACAAAGCTGAAGCCTTTCAAAGTGTATTGATTTGGAATGATGGTATTTGTGAGGGTCTCTATTTTCTCCCTTTTTAAAAAAGTAAATTATAACTTTTATGATCATAGAATAAAGCTTGAAAACGTCAACCAAAGTGCATCTTAAAAATTCAGGAATCAAAAAGCAAATCCAAAGAATAGCAAAGATTTTTATGTTACTTTTTTTTCTTTATTATTACAAAGCCTGTTTTTCCTGGTTTCTGTAGGATCAAGCTCTTCGTATTGTAGTGTTTGGGGTGGGCAGTGTTGTCACAGCACATGGGTTGGGTGTGTATGATAAGTTTGTATGTAGGTTGCTATATCATGACAATTTTTAACATTGCATTCTGTTTGATTTGCAGTACTCGGTGGTGGAAGTCCAGGTGGGTGTATCAAAATCCTCAGCTGTTATAAGGCAAGGTGCTTCAAGATGGATACATATGCAGTTTTCTTACTAAGGATCTTCTTAGGATCTGTGCATACACATGGATCCAAATATCTATCCAAATATTTCTTCCAACAAGCCTTTATCCTTAAATTAGACTAGAGAGTTTAAAAGTCAGGAGCTTTCATAGTTTCTTTGTAGATGGCAATATAATACAGCAGAGTAATCACTGATGTGAAAAAGGATCTGCTAGGTTCACCTCTGTGTGTGTACTAACACTCAAGTCACTTCAGAACCTTATGAGCAAAATCATCAGGAGTCTGTGACATTTTGAAATCTCTGAAACTCTTTGAATCCTGTGAGCTCTGCATACAGATTAGAAGATGTTGCTAATGACTATCTTTTATTGACTGTCTTTTATTTCCTTCCCTCTGACTGCAGGACCCAAATCAAAACCGAATTGGCCAATGGCTGGATGTGAGACCAAAACAGGGCATTGCAGATCTCTCTTTCCAGTTAGCTGCTGAACTCTCCTTGGGGACTTACACCATCAATGTCATGAACCCAAAAGTGTCCAGTACCTTTCAAGTGGAGGAACATGGTAAGATGGAGTACAGAGGACAAAGAATTGGGTAGAAAAAGTTAGCTGTGTCTGTACAACAGAATAGGTGGCTGAACTGTAAGATAAGATCTACTGTCTGAGAGCTAGGAATGAGTAGTCCACTAGTGGGCAATATCAGAAATGTAGACAAGGCAGATTGTACTGGAGAGTCTTGAAGGTATCTAGTAACAACTAGGCTGGCACGGAGTGAGGTTTCAATAAAGACCTCTGTGACCCTGTTCATGTGGCAGTGAACAAAAGAGGAGTCTCTCTTTGGTTTCCTTGTTTTTAATTAGTCCTAGCTTTTATCTCATTAGCATGTTCTTCATGGGACTCCAGTTTTGTGTGAATGCACTCGTCCCTTTCTCGATCCCATGTCTAGGTAGTCTGCTGCCTTTGATGGAATAACTTTGTGATTTTTGTTCCAGAGTTGCCAAAATTTGATGTTTTCTTCGAGGGACCAGCTCAGATTTACGCTTCAGAAAAAACATTCCCACTGCGTGTGTGTGGCAGGTGAGGAGGCTGTTTTGTGGAAAAGGAACAGCTCATCAAAACCTTTCCATGTCTCCTCTCTTTTGAATATATGAAGGAGGAGAAATGGCTCAAGAGGAGCCAAATACAAGTGGTTCTTTTGAAGAATCCCAAGCCCCAGGAGGGGAAATAATGAAGTTGTATCAGTGCCATGCACTTGCTATCAATGTCTTACAGAAAATATTTTCTTCTGCTTTCACATTTGAGCTAGTATCTCTACTGGGTGTTGCTATGTGGACACATCAGCTCAGGTCAGCTCTCTGCTTCTGCCTGCACTTCCAGGACAGGAGGCACCTAAAACTGGGAGAGCTTTGGAGTGTATAGGCCCTTTCCTGTTTGTGCTTTGTTTCTCCCTCTGCTGGATGCAGGACTGTGCTACTAAACTCCCCAAGTACAAAGTGTGCTATATTTTTGTTTGTGACGGCTTACTAACTGCACTGAGACTTTTATCAGGAAGGCCACCACCTGTGAGGAGCAGTGCACTCAGCACAAAACACAACAATTACCCTTCTCAGTTTCTCTCTGCTTAGTTGCTCCTCTGGTGTTTTCCTTGCAGGTATCACTATGGGAAAGCGGTACAAGGGACCGTGCAGGTGACATTGTGCCAGAAGGCGAGGAGGCGTCCTCAAAATGCCAGCAAAGATATCTGCAGGGAGTATAGTGGTCCGGTGAGTAAGATTCTGGAAGATACATGGGTAGTGGCGGAGCACTACATAGAAGAATGTGTCTAAGGATTAGATAAACAGAATGGACTGCAATCCAGTTATTCATTATGGGATATTTAGTTTAGGTTTGCCAGTCTCTGTAGTGTATAAAAGACTAGTAGTCTGTAGACTAATAGTTAATTGATTTACTCAAGTAATACAATTGATTGCAGACTGGCTGACAAGCCTTTACCCCAAAAAGTTCTTCCTTTTAAACTTTTTTTACAATGATAGAAACTGGAAAAGAGGAATTCCACAGAAAAACCTAAAGTTATGTTTTATCTGGAAAGAAGCATAACTAACTAGGAATTGCTACAGTGTAAGAAACAAAAATTGATAGCGCTTTCACAAATGCAAAAATAACCTGTTAAGGTGAACCCATCCTGGAGCTGCACAAGGATGCTAATGTATGGTGAAGACATAGTTAATTCCACAGCCAAATCACACAGTCATTTTTATATCTTATTTCTGCCCTTCTATCCCTAACAAAGCATTTCAAAGCTAGGCTCTTCGCTTCTACAGCTATGGTTGAAAACATTTTATGCTTTATGATTTGCTATTGTGACCTGCTATGGTGATTGTTATCTTCTAGTTCTGGAGCTGATTAGTTATTTTGAATATTCATTTGATTCTGCAGTTCTTGTTGCTAGAATTCTTAAAATACACCTACATTTTCTCTGTGATCCAATTAGTGCAGTTTTCAATTTTCTATGGAAGCTGGAAAATTAGCAAGATTGTGTGATATATGATTTGTTTTATACTTATGCAATATGAATTATCTCTATATATAATACAGAGATAATGAAAAATATGAACTATATATATTGAATATATATGTGTGTATATATACACACCTGCACATATATGTGTGTGTGTATATATACATGCACACATATAGCATAAAGTTCAAATATATATTTGAGAGGGAAGAGAAACAATGAGTTTCTACCACACAGTAAAAAAACTCTTTATACACTGCTAATTTCAGCATCCTAAATCAGGCTAAGACTAGAGTCTGGGTCTGCATTATAACTTGTTACAATCAACAGTTATAACAGAATGACTAATATGGTGTACTGGTAACACTTTCTCTTCTCCCCAGCTTCAGATAACATCTATCTACCACTTCATTACAGACAGTGAGCAAGGGCTGCTTCACCACTTCTGTAAGCATGATGGTCTTTAACCTGGCTCATAGTGAGGAAGACAGCAAGCTCTATGCAGAGGCCTCTCTTCTGGAAGCTGGCACAGGTACCTGAGGGCTCAGCTTATAATCACATTATGCAGAGAAAGTGCAAGGATGTGAGGGATCATCATAGGACACAGCGAATGTTCTTCTTCAAGGAACTCACTGTGCCCGCAAAGAGTAATCAACAGCAGGCAGATGAGGTGTGGCTGGGACATGGTGAGTGAGGCCACAAAAGGTCTTGAAAACATGCTAACTGAAGGAAGAGCTGCCACAGGACCAACCTTTAAGCATTTGAAAGGTGCTGGCCTCAGGAAAGAAGTTTGAGTCACTCCAATTAGGGGGTCTGAGAATAACAAAGTGAAATTAAACAAGGGTGCAGTAATCTGACTTTGCTTCCTGTATATTCCACATTCCAACAGGGGTGCAAATCAACACCTCCAGCCAAATCTCCATCTCCAGGACAGCTGCAAGGGCCATATTTGAGACCCCAAATGCTTACTACATCCCTGGAGTACCCTACAGAGGGAAGGTGATTTTTCCATTGCTTCCCCACTACCCCTTAATTTGCCAATGAATTTTTTATCTAGTAAATTTTGCTGACCCACACCATTTCTGACTGAAACCACCAGACAGAGTCACAAGCAGTGGGCATATTTCCCCATCCCAAGCCTTTGTTGCAGAACTTTGCCTTACAGTGCGGAACATTGTGTTACAGCACAGTGGAACAGCATGGCTCCAACTGCAGCAGTTCAGTTTCCCTGATGTAATTTCACCTCAGGCTTCTGCTGGGAGCAATAAGCAATTTTGCAGGAATCTTTCTGCTCTTGGCTAGGACCTGAATTCCAAATGGTCTAGCCACACATACCTTTGGGAGAGGACAGTTTTCAGCCTCCCTCAGCTTAGTTTTAAAGATAAGGAAGTCTTATAGGCCTCCTGCCTTTCTGAGGACCAGACTGAAGCTAAGGCCACCTAAACAGGAGGCTTTGTGTTTGCCAGAGAGGGGAAGGTTTGGGGTAGGATACTGGAAGGGACATCTGACTTTGGCTTTTCTGCCCTTCCCTCTTGTCACTAGATTAAGCTTCAGGATCACCATGGAAATAGTATGAAAAACAGAAAAGTTTATCTTGTGATAAGGTTCATGAGGCGTCGATTTATCAAAATATATATCACGGATGGCAATGGAAGAGCATCATTCGATCTGGACACAACTGCCTGGAACAGCTCCTCAGTCTCTTTGGAGGTAAATCCCACCTCTATGTACTGGAAGGTGAAGGCTTGAGAATCCTGAAGCTCTGCCAGCGCCCCCCACTCCTGCCCTGTAGCTCCCCTGCCAGTTCAGCCCTGGGTTTCCCACACAGCTCTGTCAGGGCAGAGCTGTGAGGAAGACACCATGCAATCATCTTTTTCAAAGAAAGAAGTTGATGAAATCCTGACAAAGCACTGAAGCAGAAAACTCTTCTGTCCTGCTTTCTGCATGTCTCTGTATGTCTGCTCCCCTCTCAGGGAAGGTTCACACTAGAGGATCTTACGCACATACCTCGGAAAACCGGCATCTATTACACAAATGCTTACCATCATCTGCAGCCCTTCCATGTCACAACAAAGAGCTTCGTGGACATACACCCACTCACAGGAATACTGCCCTGTGGGCTGAAGCAGAGTGTCCAGGTGACATTCACACTCAGTCGGGATGACCTGGGAGAAAACACCAGCCGTATAGGCTTTGCATATTATGTGAGTGAGAATTGGAGAGAATATGGAGGAAAAGCAGCACAGACGGGATGAGCCCCCCAATGAAATGTTGAGGGTGGAATTTAGATTATCCCTGGAGAGGTGTACAAGACAAACTTGTGCTTGGAGAACTCTAAATGGATCTGCCTGATCCTTGTATTGGGGTCCTGAGTCAACTCCATAGGTGGGAGGAGCATTCTGTCTCTGCAGCCCATTGGCCCCTTAGCCTCTGTGAAAGCTGCAGTGGGAATTGGGAGCATGCTTTATGTTGTCAGACTCTTTTTCCCTCTGGAAACTGAATGGTGGCACTGCTTTTCACATTGGTTATCAAATATCTGCTCAGTGGAAATGGCTTCTGATCTGCTTCTGAAAGCTTGCCTACTAGAGGTGAAATACCTTTTCTCTTCCTCTCTCCCTTTTCTCCAGGGAACCCACTACCTATCTGTTGTCCTGACTGTATAGAGTAGAATCTGATGTGTTAAAGCTTTTCCTCCCACACTGCAAAGTTTGCCAATCTACCAGGACCTACGTGTGGGGCTGGGTTAGACTCACAGCTTATTTCTTTGGTTGCTTGATAGTGCAACATGCTCACAGGGTGAGCATTACTGTACTCTGGTGACAAATAACAGTTTACTCACTGAGTGTCCCTCCTCCCTCAGGTCACTGGGAAGGCTGGAATTGTTCTCAGGGGCCAAAGGAGTGTCCAGGTTGGGAAGCTGAACAGTAAGTCTGCAGTGACCTGGTTCTGGGACTGACCAAAGGAGAACAGTTGGGCCTCTTGAGTTTCTAGATAAGACAGTGAAATTTACCCGAGTTTCTCTTGAATTCTCTCAAGCCATAGCCCTTGGGCAGTCAAAGAACAGGCTAGAAAGAGACTGGGGAAGCAATTGGGAGAGACAGAGTGGGGGAAACAATGAAGGAAAGAGAGCTTGGGGAAGAACTGTGGAGTGATGGAGCATGTGGGCTTAAAGAGTGGAGGAAGACAGCAGATAGAACAACAGAAGGTGTTTGTTTAATAGCATGGGATTATGAAGCAGGAACAAGAAGGAGGCCAGAAAGAGATCTTAGTGGGGCAATGATGAAAACACTTTGTCTTTTCCTCCTCAGTGTTGAAGGGCTCGTTCTCCATCCCTTTGACCTTCACTGCTGACTTCACCCCATCACCTTCCTTAGTAGTGTATGCTATCTTCCCCAGTGGAGGAGTGACAGCTGACAGCATCCAGTTTGATGTTGCCTTGTGCTTTGAAAACCAGGTAAGACTCACACCTATGGCTGGGGAAGAGCTGACAAGGAGCATTTAGCAGGCCTGTGGAAAGGAGAGTCCCAAGTACTTTAAAGAGACAAGTCGGGAGAAGAGGAAGATGTCTGCAGCATAGTGCACAGGAACTGGGAAAACTACCATTCAGTAGTGACTTCTATTTATAGGAATAGTTGAGCAGGGAAAACTTAGCCCTGATCTCCCTCTTTCTCCTTTGCCATACATCTGTGCTGCATATTTCTCATGCCATCTCCCTCCCTTTCTCTCTCATATTTGCTTTCCTGATGTGTTGCTCAAGGTGAAGGTGAGTTTCACAGCTAAAGACACCCATCCAGGGGCAACAGTGCAGCTCCGACTGCAGGCAGCCCCTGGTTCCATCTGTGCGGTACAGGCAGTGGATGAAAGCATGTTTCTCATGAGGCCAGAGAGAGAGCTGACAAGCCAAATGGTGAGTATCTCTGCAAATAGGCAAAAAAACAGGACTGGTGTTATGAACTGGGGAGAGGAGCAGCAGCTAAGGCAAAGGGAGTTGGAGGCTAATGGATGAAGGGTGGGTTTCTATGTGAAGAATGAGTGGATGTAGGAAGTGAGGTCTGCCCACTTTAGGTGGGAATAGCTATATGTGCTGGGGGACAGTGAAGGGAAGCATCTGGAGGTATGCATTCTCTGCCTGATTCTTCCTTGTCTATGAGTTTCCCTAGGTGTATGGCTTGTTCCCTGGTATCTACCGACATGGATACCCTGCCCAGGTGGAAGAACATTCAAATAACTGCATTCAGTCTCAGTCCATGTCACCTCTCCTGCAAGGGAAATCACAGCATTCCATTCAGCCCGACGTCTTTAACCTCTTCCGGGTAATCACCTCTGACTTTTCCCAGAGCTCTGGAAATTATGAACACTTGAGACATTTTTCTCCCCAAACAGTCCGAGAAAACCTTGCCTTCCCAAGGCAACCCCTGCTCTTTGCCCTGACCTAGCTGTGCTATCTCAAGAGAAGTATAATCCCATTATGAGTATGAGCACCTGTGTGGGCATTCACCTCTCCAGCGAGGCAGAAAGCAAGATGATGAAATTCTGGACCAGCAGAACCCAGTATTTTAGACAAGGGATTGAAGTCTCGGGCACTTACCTGATATGTGTGTCTGCACTGTTAAAGAAAAAAGAGGCAAGGAGTGATCTCAAGCAATTAACCACTGATTGTTCGCATGACTTAGTTGTTAGCATGCTCTCTGGCACTGTTTTGGATTGTTCCAATGAGATGTCTTGAAGGCAGATCTCCTTTAGAAAGGGCAAGACTTAAGCAGTGCCAGGCAAGAACATTTGGCCTTGGGCCTGGGAATCAGCCGTAGTCCTCTATTATTTTGCAGTGGAGACACATCCTAGGAGGCTCTGCTATCTGATGTGGCTGGAGAGAGCACACAGTCAGTGCACGGGTGTGGGAGTAAATCAGGGTTCTTTTGATTATCTGCACTCTCCATGCCATCAGCACAGGGACAGCACTTGTGTTTGTGGATAGGCCTGTGTCACAGTCCCAGTAGCAGAATGAGGAGGTGTTCTTCTCATCACTCCTCTGTAAGACTCCAAAGGGCAGATTTCATCCAGCTATTCCCTGCAGTCTGCATGAGGGGTGGGGGCAGGGAGGGCACTGACACCTCTCCTCTGTGCACTTGCTTGAGAAGACCAAGCTCTCCAGCTGGCCCCCGGAAGAGAGGCAATTGTTTAGCACCTTTCTAAGAAAGAGAGGATCAGGGACACTGTGCCAAACCTCCTTGAACATTGTGTCTGTTTGGGCCCGTGCTGCTCTGGACTGTCTAGGCACCTGGCTGTGCTACCAGTACTTGTCTTCAGAGTCATTTTGAAGAGCAGTGGCTGCTCTTCCTCACTCAAAGCTGCTTTTCTACTTCCCCTGCCCTCCTTCTTTTTCTGACAGAACATGGGTCTGAAAATCTTCTCAAACCTTGTAATCAAGAAGCTGACTAAGTGCTTTCACCGGGCAGGTAGGAAGCCCACCATGGGTGACCCACTCTTTCAGCCTGCCCAGCTTCCAGGACCTGAGGTCACCTGAGTAGAAGAGTTCTTTGATCTCTGGGGTTTGCCAGTGGTGGATGCTGACGCTCTCAAGAGTAATGGATGCTGCTGCTAAAGCATGGCTGCGAGGTCCATCAGTCCTCAGCAGAAATGACTGAGTCCCTATAAAAAGACTCTGAAGAATGTCACTACTTAGATGTTCCCTGACATTAAAGGATAATGTCCTTTCCTGACAAAGACAAACTCAAGCATAGGCCAAGATCTTGAGAGGAGTGTTTCTCAGTGATTATACCACAGGCTGTGCCGAGGCCTGGCTTCTGTTCCACCTGTGTCTCTTACTTTGTGTCTCAGTTTGCACTAGATAATTGTTCCCAAATGGCTTATGTGACTAGTGATTTTTAAACCACTATTGTTTGCACAGGGCTGGGTTTTCTGCAGATAAGCAAATGGGAGCATTATTATTCCCAGAATCACAAAAGTGTTCATTAGAAGGGCCCTCTAGAGGTCTCTGCTCTCTCTGGTGCCAGCTTTGGATCAGGTTGGTGGGGGCTTTGTCTAGCCAAGTCTTGGAAACCTTCTACCACTGGCCAGCTCACTGCAAACTGGTTGTCCTGCCACCTCTCTCTGTTTCCTTCCTATTTTCCCTCTCCACTCAGCCCACTCTCTTGTGTATTCCCGTGTCAAATTCTTCCCAGGCCTCTATTCATTGTTTGCTCTGTCATTTGCCCCAGTGCTAGGCTGTCTATCATTTGCAGGTTTCATCTGTCCTACCCTGATGTGACTCATTATGCTTTCTTTCAGGGGGACCTTCTGCAGAAGAGCAAAGAGTGTCTAAGGAACAACCCCGATCCACAGCCCAAGGTAGACTTCACAAGTATTTCCCTGAAACTTGGATCTGGAGTCTATTCTCTGTTGGGTGAGTGATGCCAGACTGTAAGGTGTACAAAAAGATAAACCCTTCGTTATTAAGGCTTGGCTGACCTGTATTTGAATGAAAGACACCCACAGGTGTAAAGAGAGGTCTGTATCTGAATGCAGGATTTTCCCTGTATTTATAGTGCATTAGAATGAAGGACTGGTAGACTTTGAGGAGCAGGACTCAAGTCTATACATGTTTAGAAAAGAGCAATGCTCCTTTGGTCCAAGATCAAACCACCAAATATGCTCTCTTCACATGCTGGAATACACTCTACCAGCTTCCCAATCTGGCAGGCATACCAGCTAAATTTGTAACCTTTGTTGCCACAGTGCTTGGATCAGGACTGATGAAACCCAGGGGACATGTAGTCCTGCTTCATCCTGTTGACTGAGCATAGAGCTAAAGTGCTGGGTTGCTCATGGAAACACTGTCACTGAAGGCATTTAAGCAGGCTATACGGCTCTAGGGAACAGATTGCTGAGAGCTGCCTTGCTCTGAGTCACTGGAGTGGAAGTCATCTGATAAAGTAGTTGATTTTCCCTCCACCACACCTTATTACTGGGGACAGGCCATTGGTGATAAACCAGAGGTTGATCTGAATCTAAGGATCTACTGGCTCCCCTCACCTGGGGCCAAGAACCCTTCCTATCAGAATTAAGTGGGCTGAATTCCTTCGAGGTGCTACTGCTCTCTTTCTCTCAGCTCCAACGGCAGCAGGGGTGCCATAGTCACAGCGCCTGATACTGTCGCTGAGTGGAAAGTCAGGATGTTCTGCTTGGCTGGGAGAGGCTTTGGCCTCGCTCCGATCACAAGCCTCAGGACTGTCCAGCCCTTCTTTGTGGATGTGACATTACCATATTCTGTGATCCGGGGAGAGACCTTCATGCTAAAGGCTACTGTGTTCAACTACCTGCAGCAGTGCATACAGGTGTGTAACTGTGAAACAGGTAACAGCGCATGGTACATGCCTCTCATGCCCTCCTGTTTTATAAGCACATGTGGCAAGTTCTCTCTCCCGGGTTGTCCATTCACTCACCTACATCTGTCACTCCCTCAGATCCATGTGGCTCTTGCTAAATCCCTAGAATTCCAGGTGGAGCAGTGCAGGACCTGCAGAGACAAAGAGTGCTTGTGTGTGGAGGAGTCCAAGATCTTCATGTGGAATGTAACAGCAGTCCAGCTGGGTATGGCAGCAAAAATGGTTGTGATGGTGGGGAATCCTAAAACTGAAATGAGAAGGAGCGGACGGTCCAGTGAAACTGACAGGAGCTTTTCTCCTCTGGATTCCAACGTTTGTTATTAGTGCTTCAAGACTCCGGACCATCACATCTGCTTTCTTTCTCCCCTCTTGGACAGGCTTATCAGGGAGGGCAGGAACTAAATGTGTAGAACCTGCTGAGGAGAGAGCTGTGGGACCAGGTAGGGGAGGGGCTGCACTGGTGTATATTTCTGGTGCTGCGCTGCAAGTACAATGGGAACACCGGGGACGTCACGGCTGGTGAAACATTACCCAGTTCCCTCATGCGTAGGGTATCTGGACAAGCCATCAGCACTGGCTGGTTCACCTTTACCCGTGAGATCAATGAGGCTATGAAGACCAGCCTCCTGAAGCACCTTGGATCACTGCCAGTTAAAGCAAATGTACTCATTTGTCCAGAGACATAAGAAACAGGCTGTGTTAATTTATTTGGCAGGGACTCTGAATATCACAGTCAGGACAGAGGTATTGGATGCCACGCTACGCTGTGGGGGCAAGAAGCCCTTGCCATCAACCATGAGGCGGAGGCACACTGTGGTCAAACGCTTGCTGGTCCGGGTCAGTATGAGAGCAAGCTCACTTCTCTCCTTGAGTATGAGAGGCTATGTGACCTCTATTCTTCCATGAAGAGAGGCTGAGCTGGTCTAAATGTTTTTCTCTCTTCACTTTTTGGCCAGCATTAGCATATCACGGCCTTGACTCAGTTTGCTGTGCTTTCCCCAGGACCTAGCCAAGCCTTTTCCCTTTCTGCAGTACCGTTTCTTGAGCTGCATCCAAGAAGCATTTGTACCTCTCCCTATACCTTTCTCTGTCCAGTCATCCATGTACATGAGTGTTTGTATATGTACATAGGCTTGCTCTTGCTTTCTTGAACAGTGCAGCAGACAGCTTCAGTACAGCCCTGCCAAAGGTGATGAGGATGGAATCCCTGACAACTTGGGCAGTAACCAGTGAATTTAGACCTGAAATTGCTCTGCAATTTTGCTGCTGTTTGGAAATTTTGTGTATAATATTGTTTCTCCTGTCCCATGTTCATGTTCCTGTGCAGCCAGAAGGTGTGCTAGTGGAGAAGACTTACAGCTCCCTGCTGTGCCCAAGAGGAGGTTTGTGGGTAGCTTGGATGGGTCCTGCAGCCTGAAATCACTAGATATGAGAGTAGGATTGAACTGGGGGCGGGGGGGGAGAGGAGAAGAGGGAGGATGAATTAATGCTTTCAAATGAGTTTTCTCAAAGAACATTTCACAAAAAAAGGATTACTTCTCCACTTGATGTCCTGTTGAATTTGCCACTGAGTATAGGTGAAGAGCTCCTGCTCTGTAGTCTCCTTCCACATTGCAGTCCCCATCACTCCCCTGGGGCTTGGCAGTCACCAGTAAGAGCACCTCCTACCATACCACCTTGTCCCTGCAACATTGCAGGTATCTCTAAGATGTCTCCCTACTGTATGAAAACCAAATGTGAACCTAAGGATGTCTTCATACTGAGTGAAGACCAAATGTGAACCTAGTAGTTTGGTCAGCCCCCAGTCTGGCCACCAACTCTCATGTAATTTCTAATCTGAAAAGTTCCCAAGCAATGGAGCTTGATGTGATGTGGGGCGTAGACTTTAGGGAGTGGCCTACATGGCCAGAATGTGGGCAAGCAGGATGTAGGCAGCATCCCATTTGCCTGTGCCAGCATTGTCCCTCTGGTTAGATGCCTTTGGCTAGTTTTTTCATCCTACTCCTCTCCTCTCTGGTTATCAGGAAACATGGCTGAAGACTCTGTGTCCCTTCGCTTCCCTGCTAATGTAGTAAAGGGATCTGCCAGGGCTTCCATTTCCATCCTAGGTAAGTCTATTGTGGGCTCATTGGCTTCTGTTACAGATGAACATGGCTTGACTTGGTGATGATGTCAGGGATGCATTTGACATGGGACTGGCCAAAAAAGAAGATGCTAAGTTTCTATCCTCTGCAAGGTCTGGCAACAGCATATTTTCAGATTTTTTGGGTTAGTAATTAGGCTTTAATGGGAAAGAAATCTGCAGGGGAAGATGAATCCTCATTTTCTTTGCTAGGACTTTGGAACAGAGATTCTAAGCCAATGTTTTACAGGGACTTCAGGAGTTTGGCTAGCTGTGTAGATGCAATCAGCAAAGATCATAACCATCTATCTACCTGTTAAGTTTCACTGCTATAAAAGAAGCTCCTGGAGAGAAGAAATCCTCCTCAACATTACTCAGTTGCAAAAGGATTCTTTGGAGAAGCTGCTGGGAACAGATATACTTACCATTCAGTCCCCCTCTTTGTACTGGGCCTATTTGTCTCCATGCCAGAATTGGTATGAAGCTAGGCCTGGCATAAATGGCCGTGGATATTATGCAACAAAGCCCAAACGAGGGAACAGATTACAAGGCTTTTCTAACTGGGTGAGGGACAGCTTCATGCCATCTGACTTAGCACCCCTACTGTCTTACTGACATTTTGATGCTTGACATATGGCCAGGTAGGACAGGTTTAAAGCTATTCATGCTAAATCAACCTTTCCCTAAGTGCTTCTATATTCATCTGAACAGCACCCTACTCATAGTCATTTACAAATAGTACTTGTTATGGTAAGAGCCCTTTGGAAGACAAACGCTAATAAGGGAAAGTTCCTTAGATACTCCATACTGTGGCCACCCCGTATCGCTTCCCCTAGACTGGAAAGAGGCAGAACAGTCTCAGCTCTCCACCCTGCACTCTATTGTTTTCTCCTCTTTCTTCCACTCTCCAGTATTTTCCTCCTATGCAGAAATAAAGTAGTAGTGTTCAGTGTGTGGCTGAGGAGCAATTCAAATCATGCTTAAATTTGCTTTGTTTCTAATATCCTTGGGTAGGTGACCTCATGGGGAGGGCACTGCAGAACCTAGACCACCTGGTGCAAATGCCCCATGGCTGTGGGGAGCAGAACATGGTGCTGTTTGCCCCCATTGTCTATGTGCTGCAGTACCTGGAGAAGACGAGGCAGCTGACCATAGAGATCAGGGAGCGGGCAGTGGGATTCCTCCACAATGGTAAGTATAACAGACCCACCTTGCTTTTCTGCCTTCCCCTATGTCCACCCTATAGTAGCCTCTGCTCTTACACTCATTCTCTCAGTGTTCGCCCCCTCCATGTTACTGTGCTACATTAATCACTGTTCCCATCTCCCCAGGGTACCAGACGCAGCTTCTTTATAAGCACAGAGATGGGTCCTACAGCGTTTTTGGGCAGCAGGATGGGGAGGGGAACACTTGGTAAGCACTGGGGACATCCCTTGCTCCTGATTTATTCTGTTGGGGCCAGAGCAACTGATGTGTCTGAGAACAGCTCATAAGATTTGTGTTCCTTCTTTTGGATGGAGCCCCTCAGGAACTCTGACATGGAGACAGATTGAGGGAGAGACACTTAGAAAAAGAATGAGGCAGGGCAGCAGAGATTCTAGGAAAGTGGAATACAAAGAAGCAATCCCATGGAGGTGGGAGGCCTCTTTTTCCCTCTGGGGCCATGCTGCTGCCCCACACAGAACACTGGATTGAGCTATTGGTGTCCTGCTAGCCAAGAGGTGTGTATATTGACTGGGGGAAGATCAGGGAAAAGCAATAAAAATCATCTCCCGAGGGAGGGAGTTGCTTGGGACAGTCTGAAAGATCTGCATTGGCCTGGCTTTGCCCTGTGATATCTGGACTGGGAGCAATGAAGGAAGGAAGGAAGGAAATGGGGAATCCTGAAATAATTCACAATTGTCTCTAGGTACTTGAGAGAGATGATGAAATGACTGGATAAAGTACAAGTAGATGACTTTGTGGAATCAGACTGAGGGAGAAGAGGCACTTGGGTCCCAGGGTCCATTTCCACGTTTAGATTGCTTTTCCATCTGAAACTGACTATTTCTAAGCATCCCACTATGTCAATGTTAACTTCAGGGACAAGCATGGGGGAAGCATTTGACTTTCTCCTTGTGTGTTTCTCTTTCTCTCACAACTCATCCTCTTCCTAGGCTGACAGCTTTTGTAGTCAAGAGTTTTGGCCAAGCCAGGAAATACATCTACATAGATGACAAGAATGTCCAGGATGCCTTGCATTGGCTAGAGCAAAACCAGCTCCCCAGTGGCTGCTTTGCCACCAAAGGGAGTCTTTTTCATTCCTCCTTGAAGGTAAATGAGAGCCAAGTCAGGCAGTACAACTGGGGACTGGCCGGACGGATGTTGTGGCAACAAAGGATTGTGAGGATCACAAAGGATCCTAGAAAGTCAATCCTGCAATCCGTGTAACCAGCCCTATAGAAAATAGGGCACAGGGCAGTTCTGATAAGGAGCCACCACATGAGCCCTTGAAACACCACTTAGATAGTGAAATGTGCTTCACATCCTGGCATGGTCTGGGAGAACGCACCTGAAAGCCTTAGAGACCCACTTCTGAGAGTCTCCAAGTGCTGTGGTGTGCCTGTGTTAGGCTGGAATCCTGCATCTCTGCTGACTGATTCTCTTCACAGGGTGGTGCGGATGATGAAATCTCCTTGGGGGCATATGTTGCTGCAGCACTGCTGGAATTGGGTCAGCCACTTAAGGCGAGCACACTCCCTTCCTCTCCTTCTCTCCTTTACTCTCCTACCCCTGGGCCCTGCTACAGGGAAGAAGTTCATAATGGAGGCATTCCTTAGGCCTAGGTAGGGCATTGCTGTGAGAGAGGACATGTTTGGCTAAACTGTGAAGTAATTCCTCAGAATGGTACAGCACTGGCATGGAGTGATAGGATTTGATTAAGGAACAGTCATGGCTATTTCTCACAGTGCGTGCTGGGGCTGCAGTGCCTATTTTATCAAGAGTAAGTGTTTAATTTAGTGGGTTTCTCTGGAGCTACATCAACAAGATGTAGTCTGGCTCCCTGGACTAAACCCCACAAAATTAGAGAGCCTGCCCTGCACTTTGCCCCTCTGTGAGCTTGGCGTATGTATCTTCTTCCAATGCAGGGCAAGCTGATGCAGAATACCTTCAGCTGTCTGCAGCAGGCAGTTCACAACATTACCAATATCTACACAGAAGCTGTCCTGGCCTATGCCTTTGCCTTGTCTGGAGACTATGAGACAACCCAGGAGTTGCTGTACAAGTTGGAAGAACAGGCCATCAAATCAGGTGCTGACTGCTTGTTGGGATTGGGCCTCTCATTCACCTGCTAGGATCTGGAGAAATATATCCAAGCAAGATACCCCAACTGTACCTAAGATGGCTGAACCTGGTGTCTGTTAACCTATGCAAGAGGCTTACTGAAGGAAAGAATTACACCTATTGTCCTTGTATTTGGGCAGTAACTGCACTGTGTGATTGCAGATACAATATATTATTGAGCAAGCTGTGGAAGTGACTTACAAGCAAGAGTTTCCTCAGCCTGGAGGATTTCAGGATCCTCCTCAGGGAGGAGGTAGAAACCTGTGAGCTAGGACAGGGTGAAGCCCTGGAGAATAAACTGAAGAAAGCAACCCTGGCCTGAGTCCAGGGAATGAGCTGAAGGAGCCATGAAAACACTGTTATTTCTTCCTTCCTACTTTTAGAATCCCAAATTTAATTCTCTCCACATAGGCTGCATGCTCTTTTTTCTTTCCCAGGAGGACATATCCACTGGAGCCCCAAACCAAGCTCTCTAGCTTCCACAGACTTCTGGCCTAGGACTCAGTCAGTGGACATAGAATTGACAGCCTATGTGCTCCTTGCCTACCTCTCAAAGCCACGAGTGGATACAGGTGACATGACAATTGCAGCCAGTATTGTGGCATGGCTGACCCAGCAGCAGAATGCCTACGGGGGCTTTGCTTCCACCCAGGTAACAAATAGCTCCAGGAGGATTCACCTCCTGTTACACCTAAAGTTGACAGGATGAATTCTCTTAAGGTCTTCACTTTTAGAGTTGGCTTCACAGAGCTGATCCTCACAGAGAGGTGACTATCTCTCCATCTCTAGGACACAGTTGTTGCCTTGCAAGCCTTGGCAAAATATGCAGCAAGGACATTCAGCACATCAGGCCAAGCACTTGTGAGGGTGAAATCCCAGAGGGGCTTTGGGAAGACATTCCAGGTCACCCGCCAGAAACGGCTGCTATTGCAGCAGGCAGCACTGACAGAAATCCCGGGGGATTTCTTGGTGCAAGTCCATGGCAGCAGCTGTGTCTTTGCTCAGGTAAGGTGGTGGGATAAGAGAGGAAAGATGGAGGATTATTCCGCTTCTCCACACATTTCATGTCTGGTCTGTCTTTTCCCCTTCTGATGCTCACCCTGCAGATAGTGCTGAGGTACCATGAGCCTCCCCCACGGACCACCACAACCTTCACTCTGCGTGTCGACACACAGCTGACCAACTGTAGCCAGGCCAACATGCGTGTCCTCACCATCCATATCCTTGTCAGGTGACCCCAGGGATCTTGCACTTCTCCAGCAAGCACACAGCTCTGCTGGGGGACAGCAGCTGGGAAAGCCTCAAGACTGCAATGAAGGGACTGTGCACTTGGGGCAGACAGGCTGGAGGGTGAATTTAGCAGGTAGAAGAGGTGGTGAAGAAAGGTGCTGACTACCTCCTGTGAGAGTGAGCAGTCCTGTCTTGGCCCTGGTCCTAGCTGGGCTGCCTGGCTCAGGATCCTGCCCATAGGGTATGGTGGTGGAGGGAACGGGGAGCTGGGAAGGACCATCTGACAGTTTGATCTTCTTCCTCAGCTATGCTGGGAGCAGAATCACCTCTAACATGGTGATTGTGGAGATCTCACTGCTATCTGGCTTCATCCTGTCTCCAGGATCCAGGATGTTGGTAAGGAGTCTTGAATCTGAAAAGGGAGACTGTGGTAGATGGGTCACACCTACTTGCTGCTGTTGAGAACTGCCCACTTCTGGCTGTGAGGCAACTATTAACATGAAACCTTTTGCTGCTGAAATTGAACCATTTCCCTGCAGGGCCCACCAGAGTGGGCTATGGGGGTTCAGAGGTGGTTCAGGTTCTCCCATTGACACAATTATGCCTTGGGACGGAAAGAAAATATGCTCTTAGGTATGCTAAACACCAGGATTTGTTTGTCAGAAATTCTAAGAAAAGAAACATTTTAATTTGAACCAAGAGGATTTTTTTTTTCCAGTTCAGCCGTGAAACTGAAAGCTGAATTATTTGCACAACCTTCAGGCAGGTCTTTAAAAGCAGTCTAGCAGACAATGCTATAAGATAATGACAGTCTTTACTCGTGCCTGTACCTGTTTGCTGACCAGCATATCAGTTTACATTTTATCCATATGGCCTTCTGTCCCCAGTGTGGGACACTCTTCTTCAGCAGAGCAGAGACAGCATAATTCATCCCTGAGAGGAGGCTCATGAGGGATGTTCCAGGAGGGACTGCCAAAGATATAACATGCACGTCTTTCTCATGCACTAAAACTGCTGTGCATGAGAAAGACGCTGCCCCTTCAATCCAACAGAAAGCCCTAAGGAAAGAGCTTACAAATGTCTTTGTGTTACTGTCTCCTGTCCCAGCTGCAGCATAAAACCATTGTTAAGAAAATAGAAGCAAAAGCTGATGTGGTCTTCATTTATCTGGAAAAGGTAAATGGGAACAAGAACATTAGGTTGAGCATAGTGGGAGCAAGAGGCCAGAGGACAGGAGCTGTGTGGGAAGCCCAAGGCTGCTAGCAGGGCTGCTAGGAGTGGGGCAAGGACACTGGTAGAAATGTGCATAGAGGAACCTTGCCTAAATTAATTGTTATTTGGTTAGCATTTTCTATTGATAACGTACAGCCATTTCTAAAATTCAGAATTTCTAATGAATTAGAGAGATTTAGTGTAGGAAAGACAAAGATGCATGTATGATTAACCTTGCTAATTTATTTCCGCCTCCACAAGCTCAGTGATGAATCTCAGACTTTCATTCTGCAACTGGAACAAATAATTGCGATGAAGAACCTGAAACCAGCCAGCATCAAAGTCTATGATTACTACCAGCCAGGTTGGTTGCAGTTTCTTCTGCTACTCGGGCTGGGAGCTGGGTTCCTGGATCTCTGGACTTGGCTGAGAAAAGACACTGTGCACTCTTCTCCGTGCACATGCATGAGTGTGTAACTGCCTTCCTCATTTCCTTTTGCAGAGGAGCGAGCCTTGGCTGACTACAGTGCTGTCTGCAGTTGAGGTAGGCAGCAAGTGCCTGTGACACACTGTGATACAAACACTGGTGTTGGGAAATTATAGGTCTTGCGTGGGAGAGAGGTAATGTCTTGCAGCCATGTAGGCAGTCAAAGGCAGGAAGAAGGACGGTTACTATTGGGAGGCATATATCCAGCAAGAATGAGGAACTGTCAGTTACCTATGTCTGGATGTGTGGAGCTAGGCTCAGGGCTCTTCTGCAGTCAGGCAGAAAGCTGGAAGGCTCTGGTGGATAGCAGAGATAAGTACAGCCTCTGTCTAAATGGGAGTGAAGAAGGAACAGTTGAACCTAGTGACTGTCTTATGTGTAGTGAGAATGCAGAGCAACAATGACCTGTGCTAACAAGGGGCCCCAGATGTAGATGGTGCCCCATTTCCCTCCACCCAGTATATTCATTGCAGAGTAGGAGGGGGTGATTCAGGGAGCAAAAAGAGCAAGCTGCAGCTGGGAAGATGTAATGTTTTATCTTGTGGGGTGACATGCCCAGCTGTCAGAAAGGGGGTGGCCTGTTAGTACTAGCCTGAAGCCAGGACAAGTCTGGAGAAGTCCCCTCCAGATAAGGATAAATACAGGATAAAACAGAATCTTGACACAGCAAGTGCTATGTCCTGTCATATCCCTCAGACAGGGCGCTGCCTGGAGACCTAGCTAGCAAGCTAGCCCCACTACCAGCCAAGACAAGGCTTGCTCCACAGCCTGGTGATAGCCATGGGTCAAGGCCCATGAGTCATGCCCTCCTTGTCTGTCTTAGCTTGTGTTCTCCACAGTCACACATGGCACCTCAGAAAGGGGAGCCCAAACTCCCACAGTTGTGGTAAAGGACAGGAGAAGAGCTGCTACCCAGTGACTCCTGCTTTTGCTCAATGTTTCAGGTCGGGCACCGAATGGAAGGGGTTGCCTCAGCTAGGATACTGCCTATATTAAAGTTGAGCACATGTGTTCTTGTGCCCCAATGGATGGACTTGGGGATCACCACAGTCCAGCAGTTGTGTCTGCACTGTGGAGGCCTGGGAGGTGGGGGGAAGGGTTACATATCTGGGATATGCCTAAGAAGAAGAATTAAAATAAGCATCACCCCTGACCCTCCTGTCGTTGTGTCAGTTGTTGATGAACTACAGACTCAGCCCATGGGGATACCATTTCTACTACTAATGTACATACCTTGTAGCTCCTCTACTGCTTTTCCTCACACTTCCCATGGTTTCTCCTAGCACTCCCTGCAGTAGGACCTCTGCAGCTTTGGGGAACAAAGTGCAATTGAACCTGCTGTGATAGATGCATCTCCTGCACCCTTTCTGCAAGTTCCTTTGCCTTCAACCCTGCTTTGAAGTTGTCTCCAAATAGTAATATAAAAGCTGCATTGTGTAACCCTTCACTTCTTCTCAGCAATAGCTCCTTGCCAATTACACTTGGAAAATATCTCTAAATGCAGTTGTTGGCCAAAGGAGCTGTTGACCATATCCCAGGATTCCCTTACCTCAGCTCAGGCTGGTGTGATGACCACCTTCTCCCAGTACCAAATCTACCTTGTTGTGTGCTCCACCTCCTCCTGTGCAAATCCCCTATTGGAAGGGTAGAGTTTTACTTTTGTATATGCACACATAGAGCTGAGGGAGTTATTTTTCTCAGGTGCTTTTAAATGTGATTTTCCTGTGTTTGAAGAAAAACACTAAGCCTGAATAATCATTCAACCAGACAATCCTAGTCTCCTGACTTTTAATAAGATGCCAGGCACAGTCTGATCCTCTAAGAAACTAAGTGCTTAGGAGGCAATGCCAAGCATTTCCTCTTTTCGCTTTTCATCTCCATGTGGTGGCTGGAGCAGGGGTGACAAAGGACTGAGGGATAAAGGCTGCAGAGGATGGGTCCGTCCCTGTTCCTGTGGAGACAGCAAAGGAGAAAAGTCTGTGTTCCTGAAGTATTAAAACCAGCCACCAGTAACTCAAGATATTTTTTATGCTTCATGAACAAACAGAACTGCCAAGACATCAAGGATAGGCTTCTCTCTAACTGGCCCCTTAGCACATGTTTCAGCCCCATGTGTAAAGTCTAAAGCAGAATCTCCACTAAGAGAGCAGGGATTGTGGCAGACATCCTAGAGCAGGGCTGTGCGTATCCCCCTGACAGTGCTCGTGTTACATACATGCTTATTACCCACAACCACGGGGTGCCCCTAACAGTGTCTTTCGATGCCTCATGAAGCAGGTGTTTTTCTGCCGCTCATTGCCTGCAGACAAGGAAGCATGTGGATGTATCAAAGTTTAGTACAAGACTAGGCACTCAGAATTCAAGCTTTGACTTTGCCCAACCTGGAAGCAGAGTGGGACAGATGCCCACTTCCTGGCAAGGATCAGAAGCCAGGCTGGGACTCTGAAAGGCCTAGCAATGAAAAGGATTCAGGCCCTGCAATGAAGGTGAACATGGAGTATTGCATGCACAAGGCCAGAGGGCTCTGGAATTGTAGTGGAAGTGACAGGGATTGGAACTGTATTGACTTGAGGAAAGTATATTCTATTCACAATGGCAGGATTGGTAGTAGGATTTGGGAGAGGCAGTCTTTGTGTTCTGTAGCATACCTCCAACTCTGTCATGAGCTGGGCACCTCAAACCTTCAAGTGCAGTTCTCCTTTTCCATTGTTTTAACCACTGGGATACAGGAACTCACCCTTAGCCCTGCCAATCGCTTCATACACTCAACCTGCCATGTGGCAGGTTTCTTGACCAAGGACCCTAGCCTGCATCCCCCTCCCTCTCCATCATCTTCAGGACCATGCCTGTGATGTCAAAATATGCCTTGGGCCCTCACCTTACTTGCAAGGGGCATTGTAGCTCATCACTGTAGTTTCTTCTGTAAGAGGAGAGAAAAAGCGTCAGTGAGATACACTTGCCAACAATTCACTAAAGTAATCCAGTATTGTGCCTGTCCTTCTAGGGGAGGTTAAGCCCTCATTTTACAGGCCATGACTCCTTCCACTGTGACAAATGAAATCACCTGTACATGTCAAAGTTTCTGCGCTGTGGTTAGCCTGGATTCACCCAAGTCATACAGTCTGCGACCTTTCGAAGCCATAAGTCCCAACCAGCATCATTATAGTTATGGGATTCCTCACTTTCTGAAGAAATAAAGATCCCTGGCACATTTTTAGTTTTTCCTCCCATTAGGGACCCCAGAGAACACAGGCCAAATTATTGTCACTGTCATTATTCTAAGCTATCCCCTCACTTCACTGCCTCCCACAAAATGAATGTCCAAAAGCACAGCTCTGAACTTCTGGCTCCCCTCTTGTTGGAAGAGTTAGACACTAAGTGGAGCCACATTCCAGCTCCAAGCTTGCAAGTTTTAGGTGCCAGAGAAAGAAGGATCCACCATTTTGAAGCCCAAGAAGGTAAGTCCATTACTAGAGAGTTTTTAAGGGGAGGTTAGATGAACATGTCAGAGATGGTACTGTCTTGGACTTGACAATTTCACAAAGTTCCTTCCAGTGTTACGTTTTCGAGATTTCTGCAGTCCAGCACCTGAGCTCACCTGGCATGTAGTAATCATAGACCTTGATATTAGCAGGCTTAAGATCCTTCACCTGCATGTCCTGCTGCACAAGCAAGGTGTACGCCTGAGGCTGCCGAGTCAGCTAAAGCCAAGAGATGCAAAGATTACAGTCAGAACTAAAGTCTTGTAAGACAATCCCTTCAACTTGCTTTCACTAAGACTTCTGTGAAGGAGGTCTCACCACTGTGACAGATCTGTTCTACCTTTCAGTCCATCTCAGAGATACCTTTTACTTCAAACTCTGTGGTCATGCTCCACTTGGGGGCACCAAATTTAACTTAGTTCATTAGAGATACCAAATCCATGGAGTCAATGAGCATTAGGTATCTAAATGTAGTACTAGCATTCCCAACAAATCCCACATTCCCATTCATTTCTGCTCTGAACTCCTTCACACAGGACTTCTTTTCCTGCATCAGGCCTCAGTTGTTACTTGGTCCTATGTAGTCACATTAGATTAGTTTTTATTCTGTAATCTCATACAACCTGTTAAGTTAGACAGATACAAGGTGTGGATGAACATCTGCTTGATGGTGGAAATTACATGAGCTGCTGTTCAGTGGGTTTCATTTTGTGCTACTTGGCAGCCTGAGCTGAAATCTGTCTCTACACTGCCTTTCTGCTCTGTGCTGTAGATATAACAAAAAGAGCTCTTCTGCAAGTCTATTGCAGCCATCCTCAATAATCAGTTTGCTATGAGGCTAGCTTAGCTCAGCTGATGATACACAAGTGAGGATAAAGAGTCACAGCCCAGAAAAATGTAGAAGTGCTCCTTGGAAATTCAGAGGATTTTAAATCCATGCCAGCTCTTGTTTCTGGAATTGTTTAGCTAAGCATGTGGCTAGAGAAAGGCTGGAGTGCTTGTTAATCTGTTGACTAATGAGGTTGTGGAGTGAGCATTGCTGCTCACAAAATCATCGGGTTTAATTCTGAGTAATCCTGCCTGCACAAACAATCTTGGATACTTCCTACTACATCATTCATGCTGCTTACAGGCAGGCAGCAACAGCACTCACTGCTTAAAATACCCATGGAAACAAGAGTAGCCTAAAAAATATCTGCCAACCCACAGTCTTCTTAATGATTACATTAGGCTACATTCCACTCACTTCATCCAGATAGAGAATAACTCGGTCAGCTTCGCTTTCAACTTTCTTCACTAAAGGCATTTTCTTTAGCTGAAAATAGATAAACAAAACAAAAAAAGACACATCCTGTCAGAAAGACTCTATCAGGAAGCAGAAATATTCAGGGAGATTTGTCCTTGTGAGAGTATGGACAAAATATTCACAGAGCCCACAGGAATGCTCACGATCATGCCTGCATTCCT